CAATCAACCCACTAGTTGTGCCCATGCATGCGTGACCTTCCTCAGCCATGCATGGGGCTTCCTCCAATGACGGGTCTCACCGATCTTCGACCCCACATCTTGGGTCTTAGACTTTGAAATACCTTACCTTTATCCATGACAAGCATTTGTTGGGACCATGCCTTGCTTTGGTGTGCCAAGCTTTAGTGGCATAAGGGTCCCTAAGGAGGCTGGCTTGGTACTCTTTTTGCGGAGCACCCCTCCTATAATAGCATTAGTGAGAAAAACCCTATTGACAACAACAGACATACTCTGAGCTGAGAAGTCATAATAACTTGAGCCAGATGCATAATCATTGCATGCCACTTGAGTCTTTGCCGAACCACTTTGTAACCCAACCAAGTATATGTCTAAGTCATTAGGAAGCCAACTTTGCACTAAGGGTTTTTCACCAAAGTACAACCCAATTTGGTTAAGGCATGGGCGCTTTTAGATGAGGCGGCCACATGCCAATGTTGAGCCAACAAACTAAGGGGGTAACACTTAGCCTCTAAGCCGGCCTTGACGGTACGTTCCACGGGTAGTGTTCGTGGACCTTGAACTAGGCACTATGGATAGTGTGAGGACTGGTCCCCATGGCCAGATTTTTAGGCCAGTTAACTTTTTTTTCGGGCAGTCGGGGGTCAGGAACAACTGGGCTAAGGGGCATTACATTGAAGGTGCTGAGCTTATTGATTCGGTCCTCGATGTTGTGAGGAAGGAAGCTAAGAACTGTGATTGCTTGCAAGATTTGTGCTGAGTACTTATAAATTGAAATTTGTTTTTTGTTATGTAATTTGTGAGTACTCCTAATGACGTTTCTATGATTGTTCTAGGGATGACTCATGAGATTATTGAAAATTTTTGTGCTTTTTAGGAAAACCTCTCAAAAATATTTAAAATATTTGTGCCTAAAATATGAATAACTGGCCTTTAACAGTCTACCATATGAAAGGAGTTGGAGAAACCATTAAAATATGTAAGAATCAATAGGTCTTGATATTGTTCATTTGAAGCAATGAAATCCTTTATTTATTGGATGATTATAAATTTGTGATCCTTTTCAAAAATCAAAATTCTTGATCAAAAGTGGACAAATGTACCATTTGTGTTCAATAAGATACCAAAGTGGATGATTGACTAATCCCATACTTTCAGCCCCTCCCCCCCACACCCTGGCGGGTAAATGGTGAAGCAACTAAGAATTGATTGGTTGAACTTTTTATGCAAGTTCTAAGACTTGAGAGGTTGATATTTCAAGACAAGTATTGCATCAACTAGATAGAAACACCCATCCAGACTAATTCTTCTAGTCAAGAATTATTCTTCTGATCAACAAAAACTTAAATCTGAACTACTTGGCAGAATCTATGAAGCCGTAAGTAATTTATTGTTAAAATGTTAAAAAAACTAATCTATTTCCCAGTTGTTTTTAGTGTACGAAAACATGGATCTGCCCTTTTTTTCTTAACTATAGTTGATTATCAGGCTTACTACTTTTGTGTCATTTGATTCTCGAACAAACTTTTCCATTCGAAGCAGTTTTTAGTGTGCAATCTATTATTCGTCTTTGAGGAATTTTGCTACAATATAAGAATAAGAGACTATGGCTTTAACGAGCTACCATTATTGTTGCAGTTTAAAGAGAACTTTTGCAATGCAATTTCTCATACATCACGTTCCCTTGGTGTTGGTACAATACAGGGTTTTAGGTATGTCATTCTTTTGGGGTGGGAATGGGGTCTGGAATGGGCACCCCTACTCATTTCCAAGATCAAAGAAGAATACTCTGATAGAATGATGCTAACATTCTCTATCTTCCCATCTCCAAAGGTCTCGGACACAGTCATAGAGCCTTATAACGCTACCCTCTCTGTTCATCAATTGGTGGAGAATGCTGATGAGTGTATGGTCCTTGACAACGAAGCGTTGTATGACATCTGCTGTAGGACTCTCAAGTTCACAACCCCAAGCTGTAAGTATAACCAACATGTGCCACAGAGATATTTGGCGATTTGAGTTAGTTTTTGTTCGAACTGACATATTGGTTGAAGTAGATTTTTCTTTGGTTCAAATTGTTGAAGTACATGAACACTTATATTGCATCCTTTTTAATAGCTTGAGCTTGTTGAACAATTGGTAGTTTAACTCAAACAAGTATTGTTATGAAGCTAGCTTTGGTCAAATTTCTAATATATATTTTGTGGATCAGTTGGGGACTTGAATCATCTCATCTCGGCAACAATGAGTGGAGTAATATGTTGCCTGCACTTTCCTGGGCAGCTGAACTCGGACCTTAGAAAGCTAGTGGTGAACTTGATCCCATTCCCTCAACTTCACTTTTTCATAGTGGGGTTTGCTCCCCTGACATCACGAGGATCTCAGCAGTATTGCGCTCTTATTTGTCCCAGAANCTGCCCTTTTTTTCTTAACTATAGTTGATTATCAGGCTTACTACTTTTGTGTCATTTGATTCTCGAACAAACTTTTCCATTCGAAGCAGTTTTTAGTGTGCAATCTATTATTCGTCTTTGAGGAATTTTGCTACAATATAAGAATAAGAGACTATGGCTTTAACGAGCTACCATTATTGTTGCAGTTTAAAGAGAACTTTTGCAATGCAATTTCTCATACATCACGTTCCCTTGGTGTTGGTACAATACAGGGTTTTAGGTATGTCATTCTTTTGGGGTGGGAATGGGGTCTGGAATGGGCACCCCTACTCATTTCCAAGATCAAAGAAGAATACTCTGATAGAATGATGCTAACATTCTCTATCTTCCCATCTCCAAAGGTCTCGGACACAGTCATAGAGCCTTATAACGCTACCCTCTCTGTTCATCAATTGGTGGAGAATGCTGATGAGTGTATGGTCCTTGACAACGAAGCGTTGTATGACATCTGCTGTAGGACTCTCAAGTTCACAACCCCAAGCTGTAAGTATAACCAACATGTGCCACAGAGATATTTGGCGATTTGAGTTAGTTTTTGTTCGAACTGACATATTGGTTGAAGTAGATTTTTCTTTGGTTCAAATTGTTGAAGTACATGAACACTTATATTGCATCCTTTTTAATAGCTTGAGCTTGTTGAACAATTGGTAGTTTAACTCAAACAAGTATTGTTATGAAGCTAGCTTTGGTCAATTTCTAATATGTTGCTTGTGCTTTCCTGGGCATCTGAACTCGGACCTTAGAAATCTAGTGGTGAACTTGATCCCATTCCCTTGACTTCACTTTTTCATGGTGGGGTTTGCTCCTCTGACATCACGAGGATCTCAGCAATATCGCGCTCTTATTGTCCCAGAACTTACACAATAAATGTGGGATGCCAAGATCATGATGTGCGCTGCTGATCTATGCCATGGTGGTTACCTCATTGCATCAACCATGTTTAGGGGTAAAAGGAGCACAAAAGAGGATCCAAAACAATGTCCAGTCCAGTTTTTGTGACATTGCGCCTAAAGGGCTTTCCATGGACTCAACTTTCATTGAGAATTCGATTTCTATTTCGGAGATGTTTAGAAGAGTGGGTGAGCAGTTCATTGTTATGTTTAGGAGGAAGGCTTTCTTGCATTGGAATACTGGAGAAGGAATGGATGAGATGGAATTAACTGAGGCAGAAAGTAATATGAATGATCTTGTTGCCAAGTATTATTAGTAGTAGGATACGACGGATGATGAAGATGTTGACTATGAAGACGGGGACGGAAGTGTGGGGAACTGAAGGTGTTCAATCAATTTGCTGCTACATATGCTTTAGCCAGCAATACATCAGTAAATTGATATCTTAGTATTGTGATAATGAGTATGGATCATGAGTGATATGAGTTTTCACTACTTGATCTCTATTGGACTACAATAGTTTGGGTAGTAGTATGGCCTGCCTTTTATCTTTTTCAGTAACTTTGTTCTACCCTCACAAGAATTGTTTTTCTATGAAAATTGTTGTTTTTGTTCGCATCTTTTTACCTATATGGTTTAGTGGAATTTGATGTAATTTTTTCGTTACCTTGGCACTATACATGACAAATGTGGGTAAAAACCTTGCGGCTAATCAATTTGGGAAATTGTTTGGGTTTTGGCGTTGGCCAATTGGTCACAATTTACATTGCCAATTTTTCATTCCCCATTACTGTTGGGCCTTTGTGGAGTTTAGTTTGTGTTGTTGATCCGGATGATGACTTTCTGACCCGAAGTAATAATGTGTGATTTTTTAATGGAAAAGTTTTTGAGGCTTCGTCCATTGAACGAAGGCTTGCCCTCGGGGAAAATTTTTTTTGACAGTTTTGTAGTCCAGTGTAGGACATATAAAAATCGCTACTTTGGTGATTAGGGTTTGAATGAAACTGTATAGCCGTCCTCTGTAATCTTTTTTTTTCAATAGTGAAATTCCTGTAGTTTCGTGGATGTTGGCAAATTTTCGAATCACGTAAAGTCTGTGTGTCTTGTTCTTTCTTGTTTCTTATTGTTTTATGTTTTTGGTTTGTTCTTCGATTATGTGTGTTTGTATGTGAGTTTAAAGCATATTAAATCTCAACAATTACCATGATAAAGCCTAAAGATTGTGCAACCTTGATTGAAAAGACTCCTAACAATTAAGAGCTGGGCAAATAATTTTTTGTTCTAGGATGGTAAACTCCGATCAGTAACATGAAAAACAACTTTTGTCTTCTGCTTCTTAAGTGTGTACTAAAAATAATTGAGCAATGAGCTTGAAAAAGTCGATCTATTATGACCCGGTAACAGCTGTTACGAACCGGTAATGCCCGTTACTGACGTGAGTTTTAGTCTGCCTGTTATATTGGCCGTTAACGAGAACGCCGCCTTTCAAAACCACGGGCAGACGTGGGATCTTCAACCAAATACAAAGCACTAACATAGTCTCATGGACCTGTTTCATCTCTTTCTTCCTTAACACTGAATGTCCAGCTAACGCTTTCTTTGTTTTCTCTGACTTGATAAATACTAGTTTTAGGCCAGATGGGTTTGCCGTTGTGGGTGTTCTTCGGGCTTGTCGCTGTAAGAATGATCTCTAGATATGAGCTGGGCCTCTCTGAACCCATTGTGGGTAATGCTTTGATTGATATGTATAGCTGAAATCGAAAAATGCAACTGACTAAACTGGTGTTTGGTACAATGGAATTCAGAGAAGCAGCTACATGGACTAGTTTGCTCAACGAGTTCGTAATGTATGATGACATAGGATCTCCTGGCCAACTGTTTGAGGAAATGCCTCAGAGAAACAAAATTCCGTGGACTGCTAGATTGTGGGCTATATACGTGTAAAAACCCCAATCAGGGCATGGATCTTTTTCAAAAAATGAGAGTAGAAGGTGAAGATCATCCTATTTCAATCACCATTGTTTATGTCCTTGCAGGTTGTGCTGATTTAGGAGCTATTGATTTTGGCCAAAAAATTCATGGCTATGTTTACAAATTTGCTGGTCTTGCTGGTCATATTGTCGTCAATAATGGCCTGATTGATATGTATTCAAAAAGCGGCAACCTTGACTTGACTACAAAGATTTTCAGTGAAATGTTGAATAATGATTTGTTAACATGGACTACCATGATATCCGGATTGGCACTTCATGGCAAAAAGTGATAAGCACTCGGATGTTTTCGATTACATGTTGGCATCTGGGGTGACCCCAAATGAGGTTACATTTCTTTCATTGTTATCTTGTAGCCATGCAGGATTGGTTAGTGAGCGGCCCAATACCAAAAAGAAATAAAAAAATTTGGTACCGTAGACGAAATCTAATTTTTTAGGTCTTAATAATATTATTCGTGAACTCAATAGGTGCTATTTATCAAAAGTACTATTTGACGGGCCTGACTCAGACTAGACCCAGATTAGAGATGCGGACTAGGCTCAGACAACAGATGTAGATCTACAAAGGTCTAGGCACAATTTCAATGAGGACTCAGTCATTAGGGACAGATCACCACTCTCGCGAGATAATCTCATCCATTACGAGATAGGGTGAGTTTTAAGGAATCACCCTGTTATCTCCTCGCTCCTTATGAGGATAAGGTGAGCTTCACGGAATCACCCAGCTCCTTGTTACGAGGATGCCGCCTCAATCAGAACCTCTCGGAGTCAACTTCACTTGCCTATAAATTGTAAGTCTCGCCTACACAAGAGGGATATCATACACATCTCTTGAGTAATAAGATTCTCCGGCCACTGTTGGCGTTCCTAGTGGAAGAGGTCAGTTAGACCGAACTACCTAATCTTTTTGCTTTGTGTTGAGTCTCTTTTTTAATTACTATATTAAATACTTGATAGGTGGTGCATAAACACATTTTATGCATCATCAGTTTGACTCTGTATATGGGAATGACTTAGTTTTCTCTCAATTGTGTTTTTGTGTGTTTATGGCTATTACGACTAGATCAATGTATCAACAAATAGAAGATGATTAACAACACTAGGAGGAGGTCTTGCCCCCACCAACAAATCCCGTATCTGAACCATAGCAAAAGTTGTTGGAGACTATGCAGCTGTTGGTGAATCAAAACCAGCAAATCCTTTAGTTGATGCTCGTCGGGCACCCTCAATGAGTTGTGCCCCAGCACCCAGGAGAGGAAACACTCTAGGCACCTCGCCCAGGGCCCCAAGGCGCCCCCAGTAACATCAGGGCATGCTCTTGAAGCACCAGGGATCCAACACCAAGACGCCCCTCCTCAGCACTAGGGCGCATTGACTCTCCCTCCTCGCGTTCTGACTTCGTCCTCCCACATTGATGACCCTCTTTTCCAAGAAGACGAGGGGCAAAATTAGTATGAGGATTATGAGAGGCACTACAACGATCATTCAGAAGGCGTCCCCAACCATTGGGATGAAAAAATCAAAAAAGTGCAGAACTAACTCGGCGACGTTTTCAACGCCATGAAGGCACAAGGGTCTAAAACGGTTGAGTACCTTATGAGGCATACTGACATGCCCTTTGTAGATGATGTGGCCAACTACCCTATCCTCTAAGGTTCAATATGTCAACCGTGAAATTTTTTGATGGCTCCAAAGATCCATAGGACCACCTTGACACCTACAAATCCCTGATGTAGCTGTACAAGATATCAGACGAGATCATGAGTAGAGTTTTTCCTACCACCCTCAAGGGATTTTCTCGCCAGTGGTTTGCCAAGCTTACCCGACTTCCATTAACTCTTTTACTGAACTAAGTCCTTCGTCTAACACTTCATTGGGGAACGCCGACACCAAAAGCCTACCCCCCACCTGCTCACCATCAAGCAAGACTAGGGTGAAAGCCTAAGAGTTAGGTTACTTGTTTTAACGAGGAAGTCTTCCTAATTGAAGAATCATATGACAAAGTTGGCATGACAGCCATCATAGAAGGCATGCACTAATCCAGTCTTATGTTTTCAGTTTTGAAGCACCCATCAAAGAATATTCTAGAATTATTATCAAAAGCCCAGAAACACATGCATGCTGAGAAAGTAGCAAAAGCTAGGCGAGCTGAGTCATCACGTTGAGGGGAATACGAAAAGTAGAGACAATCCTAATATGTGCTACTGCTTGTATCACTGTAGACATTAAGTAACATGGTCTTCGCATCCCCTACGCATACGCCCTGGCTATCATGCTTCCCACTTGCTTGAATTTGTAAATATCCTCCAAAATCCTCCACATTATTCAAACAAATCTTTCAAGTGGTCACCATTGTTCCCCACCTTTTTCTCCACTTTATAAAACGATTGCATTTTATTGCCACAAAGCCTTGAAATGATGGGTCCTCCATTATTGCCGAATTCTCCACCCAAACCAAGCCCACTCCCATGTGGCTCCACACCTTCTACTGTCACCCTCTATCCCAACAATGTCGGCACCCTAAAAAAATTGTGCCTCGTCTTACACATCAGCACCCACCTCCTAGCCTTTGGCGCCCTCGCCCTTGGTGCCTTCCTTGGTATCTCCCACCTCCTCTCCATCTCTTAGGAGTGAGCCTTTTGAGTCGTCAAAAACTCGACCTAACTCTGCCTCTACTCTCATGCAAGCAGTCTTAGTCTCTAACTTAACGACTCTCTCACGAGCCTAAAAAAATTCGGCCTAACCCTACCTCTGCTCTCACGCAAACAGCCTCAGTCTGTAGCTTAGCAGCTCTCTCGAGATTAGCCAAAAACTCAGCCTTTGCTCTCATATAAGCAGCCTCAGTCTCAACTTTCAGTTTAGTGACTCTCTCACGAATTGCCAAAAGCTCAGCCTAACTCTATCTCTACTCTTACACAAGCAGCCTCAGTCTCAACTTCCAGTTTAGTAGTTCTCTCACGAGTCGCAAAAAGCTCGGCCTCAAGAGGTGTAACTCTCTCGCGAGCCACCCTCAGCTCCCCTTCTATAGCCCACTATGCTTGCCTCTCCCTCATTAGAGTCTTCAATACATGTTCATGCTGGTTGACCCTCACAAATGTGTCTACCTCTCCATCATCAAAGTATCTTGAGAACTATGATTTCATCAATTCATAATGAAGGTTGTCATTTCCCACGAATGGAACATGACACATGAAAATTCTACTTTTGCATTAATTTGTGGTTGAAATTCAAATTCAGTGAAAAACAAGCATTTTTAGAGACATTCTATGCCCAAATCGCTATAGGTGATTTGATTCTGGTATATCTCCAAAAAATATCAGGATTCAAAAAAAAAAATTCACCTCAAAGGAACAATCAAGCTCAAAGTTATAGCCGTTCAAAGTTTTGTCTTTTCTTCATGGTTTTTTCATACTCCACCAGCGCCTAGCGCTAGCGAACAGCTAGGTGCTCAACGCCAGCAGCCACAGCCAGACGCCCAACATTAGCAGCTAGCGCCCAACATTCAATGTCAATGCCTTCGCACCCTCGCGCTAGAGCCCACGCCTCCCGTAGCTTGCATGCCTCGCCTCTTGACTCCAGCGCCCTCAGTTCCCTACCACTAGCGCCTAGGCACCCCAACATCCTTTGCTCCTCACCTTTTGTGCCCTTTGCTCCTTTCTCGCCCATACTCGGCTTGCTAAAAAAGATGTTCATAAATTTTTACTGATGCCCTCTCTCCAAAGTTCCATTGGATTTCGGGCATGGGACAAATGACGGGCTTGACCCAGATCACAAATGATGGGCCCAGATCAGAGAAGCAGACTAGACCCAGAATTATAGAGTACGCCCAAACCATAGATGCAGACCAGGCCCAATCACAATTTCAGTTGGGCCAAGCCCACCTTCCTGAGAGATCTAGCCCATCATCAGCGCAAGTGGGAATCTCCATCCGAGGAGAGGGAATTTGTGGAGACTCAGTTATCAGGGGCACATCGCCAGTTTCACGAGATCACCTCTTCCATTATGAGATAGAGCGAGCTTCAAGGAATCACCCACTATCACCTTGCCCGTAAGGCGAGTTTCACGGAATCACCTAACTCCCCGTTACGAGCATGACGCCTCAATCGGTGTCCCTTGGAGCCAATTTCACTTGTCTATAAATTATAAGCCCCGCCTACTCTTAGGTGGCATCACACACATCTCAACACACTACATCTCAACACACTACATCTCAACACATTACATTTCTTGAGTAATAAGGTTCTCTAGCCACCGGTGCCATTTTTAGTATAGTAGGTCACCTAGACCAAACCACCTAATTATTGTGTTTTCTTGTGTTAGGTTTCATTCTTAATTATTGCATTAAATACTTGACATATAATGCATAAACACATTTTGTGCATCATCCCTATCCACTATCCATTGCAAATTGTTTCTCAAATATTCATTGAAGACATAGCTAGATGAAGACTTTTGATATTTGTTTTTCATGCTTGATTTTTAAGTTATTCTTTGATCGAATAACTTATTCTTTAATGAAATGGGAAAATGAAAATAGGTTAGACGAACCCAAAGGTTCCTTCCACACTGTCATGGGTGATCGATCATGTGAATGGTTGGTGCACATGCACACAAACCCTCCATAACTTGCTTTCTTTATGCCTCTGAATTTTTTGATTTTGGTGCCGGTGTTCTCCACCATGTTTTGAATTCTAGAGAGGATTGTGTTTCTGAACGCACATGGGTAAACATTTGCACTATTGGAGTTGGGTTTTTTTATTCAAGGACTTCTGAATTCCCAACTCATACAGTAACATAGTAGAGTTGACGTTTTAAGAGGTTAAACTTTGAAAATCTGTAATGTATACTAGTTATCTAGTGTGAGTTGGGAATTGTATTGAGTTACAATATATTATTCTTATAAATAGGGTTGAGAGTGATGTAATTAATTATCAAATGATTAGTTTTTTAGTAAATAATAAATCGATGCAAGGGATGATTGATCATTTCATTAAGACAAGCATCAAGACGAGCATTAAGACAAAAAAACTGCTTTCCCCCGCCCAATAGAGACCCCCCCTGGGGCGGCTAAATGGTGATTTAACATAGATTTATAATAGAGAAAGAGAGTGATTTGTCTACTTTGTTAAAAAGGTGAGGAAATGAATTTCAAGTATTTTGTAGGACGAGGACAAAGACTTATTTATAATATAAGGTATGAACAACCTTTCACTTGAATACAATCTAAACGAAACAAAAATATGAACTAGGTAAATAGAAATGGAAAAAAGATGTTTTCAATTCATCACAATTAGTTATTTTTTCTACATCCATATGATCTACTAAAGTAGATTTAGGTAGAATTTATCAAGGTGAGTACATTGTATCAAAAACTTTTCTCAGCTTCCTAATGATGCTATGCAATGAACAAATAAAATTTTGGAAAATTTCCNCAACTCATAGCAACTGGGTAGAGTTTATCAAGGTATTTCTCAGCTTCCTAATGATGCTATGCCATGAACAAATAAAATGGATACACCCTTATAGTTTGGGATTGTAGCACTTCATCCCCTCATGGTTCAAATATAACCACATAACCTACTTATGCTTTTGGACTAATCTGCACAACTAACAGCGTTAACAGAAATAATTAAATTACCCGAATACCCTCATTATCGTCTGTTGCTTCTTCAAACTGTTGGAGGGGAGTTTTCTAGAGAAAACTATGCAATACTTTAAACATTCAAACCTTGAATTTTTACGGTATCACCTAACTAGAACTCTATGATGTTGATCAAACTAGATCAGCAATATTTTAGTCAAACGCATACAAATTTCTTAAATGTAGAGTTATTTCTGCTTAAAAATATTAATGATGGATCATAGATTTACCTCAAACACATAACTTCATTTTTTAGAAAGTATATTGAAACCTTAAAAATAATAATTTTCGGTACGATGCTTATTTTTTTTAATACCATAATTGGAGAGAGAAGTGCTACACTACCCATAAATTTTGGAACTCCTCTCTCCCCACTCAACGAGTTCAGCCTACTCCACTACAACCTTTGACACTATTTGCTTCTCATTCCACCACAACCTATAGAAATTCTGCAACTCCTCTTTCCCCACTAGCAGGAGAGAGAGATGAATCTTTTTGTTATTTTTGAGAATTTGTATGGGCACTTTGTTTATTTTGATAGACAGTGCAAAAGAGCTAAAGAGAATATTAGTCCAAAAGTAAAAGTAGAAGGGGGTTATAAATATTGGCACTGAACTCATGATTGTTATTTTGCTGCTGGTATATTTATATTAAAATCATAATGATCATGAGCCTTGTTGATATTAAAATATTAGGGAATGATAGGATAATTTAAGCAAATTACAATGCCTTTATTGTAAGGTATCCTGATATTTAGCAATCAACTTTAGTTTTTTATTGAGAGATTGAAATCATGTAGGGTGCATTATGTGCAATTAAGATTAAAATATAATTATGTCTGTTGTATCTTTTGTAAAGGCTTGTTGAAGAAACAATATTGGTGGTTGGTGGCTGAATTGCTCTCTCCATACACAAGGCCCAAAGTGGTCCTGGTTTGCCTTACCAGACTAAGCCACCACTTTTTCTTCTTCTTCTTCTTATTTTGTTTGTTTGCTAGAAACTTTCTTGAAGCATGTGAAACATTTGGTCCTACATCTCACCCTTAATCAGTTGCCTGACACCTTGCGCTAGTGATTGGATAGCTGAGCAAGTCAATCATGTAATCAAATTTGAGGAAAACCTGAATAGATTAAAGTCTAATTTGGATAACTTGCAGCGGATCAGAAACGACTTGATGACACGGGTTGCTGTTGCCGAGAAGCAACCAATGATGCAGCGGCTGGACAAAGTAAAAGGGTGGCTCTCAGATGTTCAAACCATGAAAACTGAATTAAATGAAGTGATAGAAAATGGCTCCAAGGAGCTTGAGAAAAATTTTTGCTGTGGATGTCCCAAGAATTGCTGCTCAAGGTACGAGTTGGGAAAGAAAGTAGCCGAAAAACTAAAAGATGCTGCTAATTTAAAGAGCAATGGAGTTTTTGAAGCAGTAGCTCAAAGGATACCTTCACATCCAGCTACAGTAAGACCCTGTGAAGGAATAATAGTGGGCATGAAAAATAATTTCAGTGAGATTTGGGGGAACCTCAAAAAAGAAGATGTGGGAATCATTGGCTTATATGGGTTAGGAGGAGTTGGGAAGACCACTTTGCTAACTGAAGTCAACAACAAGTTTGTCAATACAACTCAGGATTTTGATGTTGTGATTTGGGTAACGGTGTCCAGTAATCTAGATTTGAATCAGGTTCAGGATGACATCGGGAAAAAGATAGGACTTTATGACGAGAAATGGAAGAATAAAAGACCAGAAGGAAAAAAAGAAGATATATGTGGAGTGTTGAGCAAAAAGAAATTTANTAGGACTTTATGACGAGATATGGAAGAATAAAAGACCAGAAGGAAAGAAAGAAGATATATGTGGAGTGTTGAGCAAAAAGAAGTTTGTTTTGTTGTTGGATGATATGTGGGAGCGCCTTGATCTCTTAGAGGTTGGGATTCCACTTCAAAACAAGCAAAACTCCAAGATAGTATTCACAACCCGTTCTAAAATGGTGTGCAGCCAAATGGACGCTCAGAAAACAATTGAAGTGGAGTGTTTGCCGTGGGAGGAGGCTTGGGATTTGTTCCAGAAGAAGGTTGGTGAAATGACCCTTAAATCCCATCCAGACATACCTGAGTTAGCTCAACTTGTTGCCAAAGAATGTGACGGTTTGCCACTTGCACTTATTACTATAGGTAGAGCCATGGCTTACAAGCAAACACTCAAAGCGTGGAAGCATGCGATTAAAGTGTTGAAGAAATATGTTGTGCAATTTTCAGGTATGAAAAATGAGGTGTTTCGTCCTTTACATTTAAGTTATGATAGTCTACCTAGCAACACAGTGAGGTCTTGTTTCTTATATTGCTCTTTATACCTTGAAGACTCGAATATTCCTACAACGAACTTGATAAAAAAATGGATTGGTGAGGGATTTTTAAATGAATGGAATGACAATGAAGATGGAGCTGAAAACCAAGGGTATGACATTATTGACACTCTTCTTCAAGCATGTTTTCTGGAAAAGGTATCTAATGACTTCGTAAAAATGCATGACGTGATACGTGAGATGGCATTGTGGATAGGCCGTTAATATGACAAGCAGACTGACAAGTTTTTGGTGCGAACAAGTGGGAGGGAGACTGAAACACCAAAAGTTTCAAAATGGAAAGAGGTAAAGAGGATTTCATTGATGGTAAATAAAATTGAGAGACTAATAGGAACACCAACATGCCCTCAGCTCACAACTTTGCTTCTGAATAATAATTGGTTGCGGATGATCAGTAGTGGCTTCTTCCAATCTATGTCTGCTCTCAAAGTTCTAGACCTATCAAGTAATAATACTTTATGTGATTTACCATTGGAAATTAGTGAATTGACTTCATTGCAGTATCTTAATATATCTCGCACAAAAATAAGTCGGTTACCAGTTCAGCTCCAAAACTTGGTAAATTTGAAAATTTTGGATATGGAATATACAAATTGTGATGAAACTTCAGTACTCCAGGTGATATCAGGTTTATCATCCTTACAAGTGTTGAAGATTGGCAGTGTTACTGACAATGAAGCTTTGACAGAGAAATTGGATGCTTTGAATTTTTTATATTATTTGAGTATGACAATAGGAAATGCCTCTGCTTTCCAAAGACTTAAAAATTGCCACAAGTTACAGAGCTGCACTCGACATTTACACTTGCTACCCTTCAATCGTTGCATGACTTTCAATATATCTCCTTTGCAATATATGAAGTGTCTAAATTCCCTTGAAGTCTGAGGTTGGGATGATTGTGAAGATTGGGTGATTGATTGGAGTGTAGAAGGAAAGGGCATAGAAACTAGTAATAATCCCCTTGACTCTCATATCAGAAACCGACCATGCTTCCATAGCCTTCGTAGAGTACATATACAATATTTCAAAAGGTTGAAAAACGTAAAATGGCTTCTCTTTGTTCCAAACCTCGAGTATCTTGAGATATCGTTTTGTTATGAGATGGAAGAAGTAATTAGTAGAGATGAATGGATGGAAGCTGCAGAGAAAGGGAAAATTTCAAAACCATTTGCAAAACTGGAAACTTTAGAATTTCATTTACTTCCACAACTAAAGAGCTTCTCCCACAGTCCCCTACTCTTTCCCTTGCTTGAAATTCCTCTACGTAAAAGGGTGTCCAGAGTTGAAGAAGCTTCCACTCAACTTTGATAGTGCTAAAGAACATCAAACTCTCATTACTGGAACCAGAGACTGGTTTGATAAGTTGGAATGGCAAGACAAAGCCACATGAAATGCTTTTCTTCCAGGTTTCCAAATTTTGCGATGAGGTCTCAGTTTACAGATAGCATAAGGAAGTGATCCAGGTGGGCTCTTATTCTCTACAATATCCCAATTGTTCTTCATGTATTCATGAATATTTTTTCTATCTGTTATTTCTTACTCTAATGTTAAGATTATTTGACTAATCGCTTTGTAGATCTCTAAATCCTGTGCTGTAGAATTCTCTCCGTGACAAATAAGCTACTTCAGCTCAACAAATATGCTTGTGTATTGTCTTCACAGATGTGATACCTGCCCATTACTACTTCTTGGGTGTGGTGGTTGCGTTGCAATTGCTCACCAACCATTTCCATGATGTATTTCTGTTTCCTTATTATTCAGTGGTGCTTATGTATGAGTGTTTCTATGTCTATTCAATGTAGTGCTTTGGTGTTTGTTGGAGTATAGTCTAGTTTATTAGGATTTTTTTTTTCCTTTTTTATCCTTACTATGATTTTATATTTTGCCTAGACCACAAGGATGTTTTGATCAATTTGTATTATTATTTGACTATATATATGGGACTCTACTCTTAGTTTAAGTATCTCTTTTCACTCACATTTATTCCAAGTTGGTATCAGAGTCTAACCTTAACCCTAACCCTAACCTTCTCCGTCATCCTCACCAGCAATTAGCAGCCTTCATCACAGCACGTTGCAGCCACCAGCCACTGCACTGCTGCCATACCAACAACAAACCAACTAAATCCCCCACTACCCAGCGACAAAACCCCATAACTCAGACCACCGACACCACTCAGTCGAAACCATTCCAACGAACCGATACGTAGCACCGACAGCAACCCAGCAGCACCGAAATCCAGCAGCGCCGAAACACTCAATCCATTAAAATGAGCATAAAGCACTGACCGACTAAATCCATAAAGCACCGACAACTTACCCATAGCAAACCCACTGCCCATCCTTCACAATCAAACCTAATAGCAAACCCAGTCTAAAACAAAACAGCACCGACATACCCATAACAAACCCACACAACCAAACCTAATTCTTAAAACATCAAATCGATCATCACCGACAGCCAAGCGACACAAAATACTACACCAACAGCTATACAAACCAAACAACTAGTAATACCGACTGCCTCCTTCATTATACCTAAGCACCGGACAGTCTAAAAGAAAACACATACCAGACCCAACCCATTAAACATATATTAAACCAGCCCACTGTTACTCAGCCCACTGTTGGGTCCTTTTTCTTCGTTGTAACTTCATTGTTTACAGTTTTCGTCATAATGCTGCCAAGTTGCAATATCTAGGGCTGTTTTAAGAGGGGTTGAATCCTCTTCTTTGTTGATTTGCTCTTGATGCAGTAGATCATTTATTTTCATTTACTAGAATTCTGGGCACCGTGACCTGATTATTTGGGAGCTTTCTGAACCTTCTTTATCTGTCGCTATTGTTCGACTGGAGGTATATTGTTCTCCCTTATTTTATCCCTCTATTTATCTTAGAGTTATTTTTTCTGTCATGTGTGTCATACTATTGTTGTTGATATGACTACTACTGAAGGACTTGAGACCCTTATTGTTGACACCTCTACCGTTGAGACATCCATTGTTAATACTTCCATTGCCTGGTCGCCTGGACCAACGCCGACAGGATATCCCAGATCAGCTAAGACGGGCAATTTCTCGTCAGTGTGATTATTGTGGTCGATCAGGACATCTCAGGGCTACTTGTTGGAAGCTCTATTCGGAGCTTAAGCCGCCTTCTCACAGCCACACTGTTGCCATTGGTAAGGCACCATCACCTATAGTCATTGCTCCTGCTACTATTGCTACTGCTCCTCCTTGGCAGAGTGATATGGATGCTATCACTTATCGCTTGGATAGACTTATGTCAGCCTTGACTTCTCGAGGTCCGACTATTATTACTGCGACTATTACTGGTATACCTCGTGCTTTTCATACTTGCGCTAGTCCATCTCCCCTTTGGATGTTGGACGCGAGTGCTAATGGTCATATAACGGGTGAGACTCATCACTTCACCACTTTTGACGAGCAGTTACATACACAGGTTCAGCTAGCAGATGGGACACATGTCCCTATTGTTAGTAGGGGTACAGTCCGCCTTCCAGTTGGCTTTACATTACATTCGATTTTTCATGCACTAAAACTAACTATGAATCTATTATCCGTACATCAGTTAGCCAGAGATTTTTACTGTGCGGTTGTATTTTTATTTGATTCGTGTTATTTGCAGGACCTGAGTACCAAGAGGATTATTATCAGGGGACATGAAAGAGATGAATTGTATTATCTAGGCGATCCGCCTCCAGTTTCACCAGTTCCTCCTTCTTTATTATGTGCACCTGCTTTGTCTTTATCTGTTCCTAACTTGAATGCTAGTATTTTACTTAGTATTTATCGTTATGATTTCTCATCACAAACTGTTCAGTTGTGGCATGACCGTTTTGGGCATACAAATTTTAAATATTTATGTATATTATTTCCTGCCTTGAGCAATGCTTATGTTGGTGGTAAACTTGACTGTGTTATATGTTCCCTATCGAAACATGTTCGGACCAGTAATATTCCTCGCATGCACCAGTCACCCAAGCCATTTGACCTAACATACTCTGATATTGGGGGACCCTCTCTTGTTACTGCTTTGTCAGGCACTCAATACTATGTGACATTTATAGATGACTATACTCGTTGTACTTACGTTTACCTTTTGCATATAAAGTTTGATGTACTCCCTATCATCACTCTGTTTCTTCAGATGATTATGACACAATTCAATGTCATTGTTCGTGCTCTTCATTCGGATAATGCCAAAGAATATGTGTCTGATGCCTTAGTGTCTCACATTTCTTCTCAGGGTATCCTTCAGCAGCTCACTTGTCCATATACTCTTGAGAAAAATGGAGTTGCTGAAAAGAAAAATAGGAGTCTAATAGGGATGGTACGTTGTATGCTTAGAGGTATGGAGGTGCCAAAATCTTATTGGTATTTTGTTGTTTTGACTTCTACCTTTCTGTATAATCGTACACTGAGTCGTGTTCTTCAACATAGGGCTCCCTTACAGGTCTTATTCCCTGAGCAGACACCTTTTTCGATCCCCCCTCGTATTTTTGGCTGCACATATTTTGTTTAGGATCGGTCTCCTACTCGTCATAAGCTTGATGATAAAGCAATTCGTTGTGTCTTTGTGGGCTATTGTCATCAGTCTAAGGGGTATCAGTGTTATTATCCTATTAGGCGTCGTATGTATAATAGTCTAGATGTTACATTTCTTGAGCACATTCCTTATTTTTCTTCTATTCATGTGTCTGCCCTTCCAGTTGATGATACTCCCTTTGATTTTCTGTTACCACAAGAACCAGAATTATTAGTCACTATCACTACAGAGTCATCAGTCTCTCTTTCACCAGAGCCACTTGTCCCTGTCAGTACAGAGTCACAAGTCTCTCTTCCTTTGTAGGTTTATGTTCGTTACCTTCGCTCTCATCCCCTTGCTGATGTCCCCTCTGTCTCAGGCGATGTAGGTAATACTTCTCACTTTATTGAGCATATTGATGCACCTGCTGTTAGTACTGATGAGATTGTAGGTACTGAGCCAGTTATTTTTCCTGATGAGACATTATCAGTGGAGGATGATAATTTAAGGCGTCGTTATCCGCAGCGTGATCGCCGTCCAGTTGTCCGTTATGTTTGGACTGCCAGGACTTTATATCCGATCTCTGCTTATGTTTCTTATGGTGATCATTCTCCTACATTTTGAGCTTATAGTATGGTCTTATCAGATACGCAGGTTCCTTGTTCTGTTTAAGAGGCTATGCAGGAGCCCCAGTGGGTTCTTGCCATACAAACGGAGATGGACGCTCTTCAGTGTAATCATACGTGGGATCTTGTCTTTTTACCTTCAGGGGTGAAGCCTATTGACTATCACTGGGTTTACACCCTGAAGTTTCTTGCAGATAGTACTATTGATCGTTATAAGGCTAGACTTGTGGCGAAGGGCTTTACTCAGGTACCAGGTCATGATTTTGGTACTACCTTTGCCCTCGTGGCAAAATTAACTACTGTTCAATTGATTATTTCTCTGGCTGCGGAGTACTCTTGGCCTCTTCATCAGTTGGATGTGAATAATACATTTCTTCACGGTGATCTGGATGAGATTATTAATATGGATGCACCACCGGGCTTTCGTGGTATGAGGGAGTATACTGGAAAGGTATGTCAACTGCGAAAATCTCTCTATGGACTGAAACAGTCACCATGAGCCTGATTCTCTCACTTTAGTGATGCAGTTGTACGTTTAGGGTTCACCATTTGTCATTCTAATCATACCTTCTTCATTCAACAGGATACTTCTAGACAGTGTGTCATCCTTTTGGTATATGTTGATGATATTATTATTGCTGGAGATGATATTTCTGGGACTATGCAGGTCAAGGTAGACCTTGGGAAGGCCTTCGATGTGAAGGATCTTGGATTTCTGCGATACTTTCTTGGGATTAAGGTTGCCCGTAGCAGTAGGGGTATTGTTCTGTCTCAGAGAAAGTATGTTCTGAATCTTCTCTCAGACACTGGGATGTTGGGGTGCAAACCGGCATCATCACTCATGATTCCAAACCTAAAGCTTAATGCTGAAGGTGAGGAGTTGAAAGATCCAACTGTCTATCAGAGGTTGGTAGGTAGACTTATCTACCTAGCCAACACTAGGCCAAACATTTCATTCGCTGTCAGCCGAGTTAGTCAGTTCATGCACAGGTCGTGTCAGCCTCATCTTGATGCAGTTTATCATATTTTTCAGTACCTCAAGTCTTGTCCTGGACTTGGGTTGTTTTATGCATCAGGATCTTAGATTGGTCCTCTAGCCTGTTATGAAGATTCAGATTATGGAGGAGCATGTGACG